TCAAAAGAAATAAAATATGTTTATAACAGAGAGCACAAAGGAGAGCTTTGAAATGTCTATAGCCATACAAAGTAACATAATTAAAAATCTCTGAGCGCCTCTGTGATGTAAGACTTATATATATTTATTTATACATATTTATAAGGCAGACTGTTATATACCCTTAGAATTCATGAGAAAGAAATTTCAGCAATTATACTGGGAAATAATTACTGCAAATCCAGACTACAGTGTTGGTCAGGGCTAGAGGAAAATATCAGATTTATTTTCCTCAAAATGGTCCTCACATTTGATATAGTGCACCAAGAAGCACCTGAAAGCTTATCTATCAAGAAAAATTTTATAAAATGGAAGCAAAATAGCATTTTAAACTGTTTTGTAAATCCTGCATATTTTAAGAAATAATTTAATTCACTGTAAAAACACAGAAACCATAACTTTCTCAAGGATTCATTCATGCAGAACTCCCTCCAAGACTATTCCAGAAATGGATAGTGTTAAATTATTAGATTCAAACAGTTGTGCCTCACTGTTCTCTTCCAGTCACCAATGCACACACCAAAAATTGCTCTTGGAAACCCCTCTTTCCATCTCTCCTCTGTTCTAATACCAGAGACAAATACCATTTTCCATATTGTTTACAGTGTATCTTACAAGGAGACTCTCAAGTGGGTAAAGTTGCTTCGTTTTACTGAATTCAACACATTCGTTTTACTAAATTCAAACAGGAATGCTGCCTCACACCTACCCAAATATTTTGAGGCCATTAAATGTGTACGTGTCACATGAAATAGGAGCTTTAGGCTCTTTTTAATAAAGCAGCAAATATAAAAGGGGAAGGAATAAGCACAGGAAACATAATGCAAAGAGCCTTCTGTAGTGGATAAAGCTATGGACATCAATCACCATCCTTCGCAAGACAGAGTATACTGTACAAAGACAGCATGTGACATTCAAGTCACAATGCCCATAAATACAGATAGTTCCAGCTGTAAGCACCACCAATGGAAGCCAGAGAACTAACCTGCAGCACAGTAGCCAGTGACCCAAGAGTCACTTCTCTGTAAGACTGCTAGACCAGTGCTGACCCTTTCACGATAACATCATTGCTTAAGTCACTTAAAGACTGACCTTTCTTATTTGATCTTCAAAGCCCCTGAGTGCTGAGAAAGACCATTGCGGGCTATTTCGGTAGGACAACTGCCTGATGCATGCAAGACTATGCTATTCCAGAGATTTATATTTGGAACAGAAACAGAAAACTTAAAACAGACTCTGTATAGTGATAAATGATGCTACTCTGCCTAGCTGTGGCTGCTGAGGAAAAGCTAGATAACTGAGCAACAGAAACACATGCAGCAAGGGGGGGTGAGGACAGAACTCTGTGCACCCAAATATCTGGAAATTTAGAAGAGAGTTCTGCACCACCTTGTTTATCCAAATACATGATAACAAAAATCAGAATGAAAAGTATTTCCTGATCTGAATTTTTATACAAAAAATCCCCAACACTGCCAAAGCCGGACATAAGCCTAACAAACTGCTTGTATAACCTGAAGTAAACGTATTTGCATGCACACACCGGCAAATAGCATACAATCAAATGATCTGCATGGGCAGCTGTGGGGTTTTTTCCAGGTGAGCAGGTCGTTTAACTCAGCTCAACGGCTTCACAGACCTTTGAAAATTTGACCTATGTGTTTCGTTTATAAACATATCAAATGAACAAGCAGACTTATTTAACCACTGGAATTTGGCTACAAAGCACTCTGCCAAATGCTCCTTTGAGTTTCATGCAGCCTCCCTGAAGTCAATGGCTTGTTTGGCAGGAATTCAAGGAAGAATCTGGACCATTATCAATAACTGAAATCCTAATAAAGAAACTCAGAAAAAGCACTTTTACAAATGAAGCACACTATGCAAGAGTAATTGTGAACAGGAACAATCCCACTTAGAGAAAAAATAAATGATTCACTGTTTGTTACTTTTGTATTGGCTTCTATTGTTTGAATTAATAGATACAGTTTATAATTATATCTTGATTAACACTATTGTGTTCTAAATATAGAAGGTAAAGCAAGAAAATACCATTTTTATTTGTTTCTCTCAGCCAATTATCTTTTCTTCTCATCTATGTGCTTCCCAAACTTCAATAGAAACAGTTTGTGTCAGTCGTACAATTTTTTCTGTTTTCATCTCTTTTTTTGGCACTGATTCTTAGTGAACTGCCTTCCCACAACCAAGATGCCAGTTTTCCACTGAAGGCGGGAGGGCTGTAGTTGTGCAGACACAGAGGAAGAGTATGTGCTCAGGTTATCCTCAGCGAGAACAACGCCTTCTCTCCAAAATAAACAACTTCCAGTAACAGTCAGTGCAAAGAGCAGTTCCTCACAGGACCACACCTCACTCTCTTATAATCAAGATTTTTTTCCCTGATGACCTCATTTATTTTTATTTTTACTGTGACGCTTCATGTCTTTAAGTTTGGCTATCAGTAATACGAGCAGAAAGTCTGCACAAAAGCCAAAAATATCAGCCAGTTAAATACACTGATTTAGAATTTAATGGAAATTAAGGGAAAAGATATTTGACCTCCCAAAGATGACACATTTTCAAAAGCAGTTTTTTCAGACCTCAGCATGCCCTGACAGTTACCTAACTGGAAATGCATTCAGCACTATGAAAAGGAACTTCATGTTTTGGAAATCTACTATCTTGACCACTGAAAATATTTTTTTTTTTTTTTAAAAAGTATGCTTCTTTGGCAGATTAAAATTTCTCTCTGGTTCCTACTTTGCTTTATTTCATTGTAATCTGGCTTTCATGCTGCCATGGGCTAGATTGTTGTTTTGTTCTTCTCTCTTTCTGAGATGATTAGCACACAAATGCTAATATGAGTTAATACCAGGATATCAGCAACTGGGAGCTAACCAGCCTGGAGATAGTGGCCAGGCCACTGGCTCGCGAGCCCAGCCCTACTTCAGACCTGCCACTACTCCTGTTACGTAACTCTGCACCTTGTTTTCTTCTTCTAAAAATGACACTAATGTTTTGTCATGAGGTTTGAATACTGGAAGTGTAAAGTATGACATAACAGCAACCATAATTTATGTTCCATGTTTGCGTGTGCTTTTTTGGATTTTTGCCTGTTCATGAAAATGTTAAATGCAGTTGTGGTAGCAAAGATTCAGTATTGCGTCTTGCTGGGAGTCAGCTAGTAGCAGAGAGGAATACTGCCAACATTCAGACCGCTTAAGGATTTTTACGTTTCTAGGGATGAGACGTGGGAAGTTGTAGAAACTAACTGAAGGAGTATCAACACATAAATCTGGTGAGCCCAATCAAGTGATGCTTTTTATACAGCTAAGAGGCTATGCCATCAGAAAAGGTAGTTGAATGAGTTGAAAATTCTCCCAAATCTGAGAATACTTTGTAGGTAGATGAGAAAAGGGTTAGGGGCAAGAACTCTACCCATTCACTCTGCAGTGAATATATATACACCAAGAAAATAGGAGGAATAACATAAATCCAGAAAAACAAACTTTTTAAAAAATAAATTCAAGCCCATGAAAAAGCTTGTTGTGCCATATAAAAGAATAAAGAACATTATTCTGCATTGTTAGAGATCCCACCTCTTTTAATTTTGATTCACTAATAGCATTCAAGTAGTTTCTATTTAAAGACTAAGTAGCTATATTGTGCAATTAATGGACAAACTAGCATTCAATGTTTTCCACACTATTAAGAGACAATACAGCTTTAAATAGAATGTAATTTCAAGACATAATTTTGTTGGATGTTATTATAGTCAATTTTAACATGTTCCTGTAAAACTGCATACTCTGTTTCTGCCACTGACATTACTATATAATTTCTTACCTGTCTAATATATATGCATTGTCATAATTCTGCCAAAAAAATCCAACAAGAGTATCCAACAGATTTTGGTCCTGAATCAGCTGAAGGAACCAATTATAACTTACTTATTAAAAATGGCCAATCTTTCATCTGTCTGTATAATAAAAAAATAATCCTAAGTTTCCCTGGTGGAAATATAAAACCCTAAGCATCAATCTTCATCAAATAGTATCTTTTTTTTTTTTTTTACGTTAGTAAACATTTATTAATATGATGCAAATTATTCTTTGTTTCCACATATTTGTAGTTGCAATTTAATAAAATTATACAATTGAAGAGAAATAAATCTTAGGTATCTTGTGTACTCCTCCAACATGCCTTATGACCCCTCTAGACAGCACAAAACTCCACCATTTTAATTTGTTGCTTGATCAATAACACTGAATGTCTTTTCACTAAGAAAATCCATGGAAAAATTGATGGGTGGGGAGAAACACTTCAAGTTTTCTAAATAGTACTTCATTGTCAAGAGAATTCCACTTTTACTGGATTGCTGGTTCAACAAATCTTGGAAATATTGGAAAGTACTGTCTATATATGCAATAAAACTTGCACTGATTTCAGTAGGTCCCGAATTTCATCCAAGCTTTTTCTCCACAGGAATAGCAGGAATATGAACAAATATTCTATTTTTTCCCAATTTTGAAACAAAGATTTAGAACAGTAATCACACATTAACCCCTTAAATAATCTGAAAGCGGTTTCTACATATAGTTTAAGCAACTGGGAAGAAACAGTATCATGTACTAGTGACACCATGTTTTCAAGTTGTTCCTTCCTCTTCCTCTGGTCACAGGGACATATAGGTAATGTCACTGAACTAATGTAACTAACCTGGTGTTTGTGATAACATCCTTGATAAGGCCTATAACTGACTGTGACATACCTTAATTTATTTATTTGGCAGATGCATCCATCATCTCAAAGATAAACATTAAAAAACAGGGTGAGTTGACTGGAAAGAGAAAAGCACCCTCTAGCTATGATTGTTATTTTTATTATTTTTTCTGAACTTTAAAAAAAATCCTCAATCCCCTTTTTAAAATATATGCAAACATCTAAAATTTGATCTAGTGAGATACCTTTAATTTCTCCAAGGAGATCACTTGTATTTAATTTTTCCATCTTCTCCTTCCAGTCTTTAGAAAGTAGCTTTTCCATGCAGGATGAATCTATTAAAAAAATAAAAAGGAATTGTCAAATATATTCTCACACATCAGGAATATAGGTGCAACCTTCATTTAAAAATTATTCTCCCTGTTCTATTGGACCATAGTTTCAAAGGGAAATGAACCTGTAGCCAAAGTTCTCATTTAACTGCATTTTAAATCCAAAGTATAATTCCACCGAGGTTAATGGAGTTACTATGGATTTAACTAGGGTCTAATTGAAAGAAAAACTTCGTTCAGGATTTATGCATGCTAACTGCCAATTTACATGCATAGATTGCCAATGTATATACAAATTCTGTCTTTTTCATTTGAGAATGATTGTACACTCGAAATTATACATGAAGATTTAGAAGCTTTTTCGGGAAATTTGGCACACAGTGACATCTGAAACCCATTTTTATACCCATGTCAATGCAAAAGTTATTCATATAACATCTCCATGGAATTCATAAAAGCACTCTACATATTGGATGTTCACAGTATCAGAAATTTTCTCAGTACACCATAAACAACATGCAATGATTACAAGATATGCTTTCATAATTTGAAGTTCAGAATATATTTCAAATTTTTGCTCCAATCTGGGGGACCTTCTGCAGGCATAACTGTCTCTGAAGTCATTACACTTAGGAGAAAGTACAAGACTGACCTCAGTAAGTTTCGTATGATCAGACACCAATTCCACTAGAAAATTTGATTGAGCATAACAGACTTCAAGAAAATCTACAGGTTTTTTCAGTTCCTAGATTAAACTAATTGGCTCTGAAGCCTAAATTATACATAACCTTCCAGATAACTTACAAAAGGTGATTTTTAAGACAGGAATTCTTATGGTTGACGCTGTGATCTAGACTTTTATGAGTTTAGCAACCACAATTCAGATTTATAAACAACTACCCAGAAAACTTTACACAAAATTGAACACTTATTTTCCCTTCCCAGTTACTAATAACAGACCGTCCATTAAACATTGTCCATTTACTGTCACTGGCAGACAGACTGATCAACAACGCCTATGCTCAACTCTTTGGAAACCCTTAGGCCCAGTTTAGCAAGATATCAAAAACATTCTTTAAATACAATTTAAATATTCCTAAAACTAATCTTTGCAAGGAGCCTTCATGATAAGGCCACATCTCAGTCTGGGCAGTGCCGAGCACGCTGTTTGTTAGTACGTACACTGGGACAGCCGCGCATCTGAGCTTGTGACAAACTCTCAGAGCAAACTGCCGTTTGTGTTAGGAGGAGATAATTTACACAATGCTTCCTAAATAATGAATAATGTTCCAAATTTTGACAACATTTGCACTGATCCCACTCCAATCACTTAAGAATTAACACGAGGGTCTACAAGAAGACAGAATTCAGCCTAACATTTTCTGCTAAATTACTGGCAGATTAAGGCCAAATCGTGGCTCCAATTCTCCTGTCGGCATCAGAAGCACTTACACAAGTGAAAGCAAAACCAAAAAATCCAGATTAAGAATGGCAACACAGATCGCATCAATGCAACGAGTAACAGTTTGTTCCACCTCAGAGGATTCTAAAAATACTCAGAGGGAGGAGAAGCATTCAAAGAGGTCACAAAAGGAGGAGTTAAAGAATTAGGGAAAAGTTTAAGGAAGAAGAGGGTCATAAGCCCAGTCACATTTCAGGGTGCAAGTAGTTCTAACCTGAAAATTCACATTAGCAGGACTTATTTAAAACAAACAAAGAAACAAACAAACAAACCTGAAAACCAGTTGAAAGCAAACCAAACTCTAACTACCAAAAGATCAAAGATCAGGTTTTAATTGCAACACATTTTCATCATGCAAGCCTCCGTGGAAAGACAACACAGCTCGTAAATGTTTTTGAAGTAATATTTCAGTAGAAAAGCTAATTTATTTACTAATTATATCTTTCTATGAAAGAGACAAAATTAAGGAGCTGTAAGTTGCAATAGGCAGTGTTAAAATACTTGTTATATAATAACAATTTACTTTTAACAATAACAGCCACTTATTACTTTTATGAGTTTTGGCCTGATAATAGAAGAATCAAGAAATAACCATCAATTATCAATAGAACATTACAATTTGTCCTTTTTGTGATATCATCATTAGTTTAAAAAGATGGTTCTGTGTTTCTCCCCTGCCAAAATTTCAGACCCCTCGTCTGTGAAAAAAAAAAAAAGCATTAAAAGTTTTATTTTTATGTTTGTTATAGGTTAGGTATTCTACTGCTTTTTACCTAAGAAGATATTCTCCTCAATTCATATGAAGAAGGAAAAATATTTAAAAAAAAAAAAAAAGAAACAATTAGAATATCACAGGAGTCAAAAGCACTCGCTTTATTTTTTCTCTTACTGCTCTTAAGAACAGCCGTGTTTATCTGTAGTGTTCTTAAGGGCAAAAAACATATTTCTAAAGGCAGACCGAGAAAGAACTGGAATGGAAAAGATGTCTATCTGTGTGCCTTCTTTGTGATATAATCACATTGCTAGTTACAATTTTTATTTCTATAAATGACTGAAAAACTCCTTAAGAAACATTTATTTAAAGCCCCCTATCTTGTTCAAACTCTATGGTATAGATCTGACCACACAATTTATAGCTACTGCATTTTGTTATGGAGAAGATTACAGAAACACACAATGAGCCTTTTAATAAACTCTTATATTATTGTAAAAACAGCTCTTTTGAAATTTCTGAAAATTTTCAATTAGCAGGTTTATTCTGCATACTTCTTAGAATTTAAAATAATATGTGTTAAAGTTCTCTAGAGGTCCTCCACATCAGACACAAAACTAGATATGAAAGCTTATACTTGAAAGGCACGTCTCTCTTCAAGTTCTGTATTATGCGTTCACAAACACATATTTTGAAAAGGTTTGTGAATCAGAAAGGGATTTTTTCTTCTTTCTGTTCTGAAAATTAATTTTTACATACATATAAAATCTACAAAGATATCTTCTGACATCAGTAAAATGTCCTCATCCATATTGATTCATTTTCTGATTTGATTCATTATAGAAACAAAACATCGCCTTGCAATCCAGCACTGAACATTGCAGAAGCCCGAATTCACATCTGCACTGCATCACTCTCCCTGCGCTGAGGCTCTGCTTCAGCACCATTCCAAAACCCTGTGCATCCCGACATTTTCAAAATTCAGGGGTATTCTTGTTAAAGACAATTATAAAAGAAGCAAAGAAAGAAATTAGCATTTATACATTTTTAACTGTTCTCACTGACTTTATAAACCACAGTTGAGCTTATGCCGCAAAGTAGCATATTTTGTACTGACACATGTAAGAGCAAACTCGTGAAGTTGTACTGGAGCAATTTATTATATTATCAACACACAGCTTCTCATCCTTTATATTCTTCTCTTGTGAATTAGGAAAAATTTTCTTTCAAGGACAGCAAACAGGTTAAGTATAATTAGACTAAGATGACTAAATGAAATCACTGAGTATTATTTAATATCACAGTTTATTACATACTGTGTTAGCAATTTTAATTGTAGACTAAAGGAGTTTAAAGTGCTGTGAGAATCTTGTTAGACATGACAGTTTTGCAAAGGTGAATGAGAGGAGGATGTTAAAAGATAAGTAAGCAGTGGAAAAAAAAAAAGCTGAGAAAAAAAAGCCTAGGTGTTAGATGAAAAGAATCTCCCCACAATGACATAGCATCAATGAAAAGAATTAACATTTGTCCATTGGGTAATCAATCAGTGATGGAATGGATGGAATCCAGCCCTTTGTTGCACGACCAGCGATGAAGAACGAGTGTGTTAGCTATCACAGCCAAGCTCTCAAGTTCTTCTGACTGAATGAAAGTCCTCTTGTTCCTATCAAGGATAGCTTTTGCCTCTTGTCTCTTCCTTATTCTTCCCTCTTCTTTTTTTTTTTTTTTTAATTTCACTTTTACAGTCTTCCAAGTTACCGAGCCCAGCTACTGCCTACATGAATACTGTATGTCCTTACAGTGGCCTGCATCTAGCCTCACCGATTTTGGAGGGCTGTTTCTTTTTTTTTATTTTGCCTTTTAATTCACTGAAGTAGCCTCTTATTACTTTCTTTGAAATACAGATATGAAAAAAAAAAAAAAAAGAGTTCATGCCGTGTGTGTGTTTTTGTTTTTTATGGTAAAGTCATACATAAAAGACAGCCTAAATGTGAGAGTGCAGCAGCAAAACTTCAAAGCACTGACTGTCAGACATTATTATTTCAAATCAGCTTTGACTTTTTGAGACTTAATAAAACACTATAGTACAGACTGGCATATTTATAACACCTATACCAGTGATCAACTGAACTGTCTTATTCTTGCTACTGTGCAGTGCCTTGTTATTTCTTTTATAATAAGCTTCCCTCAAAACATGTTGTAACAATACTGCAAACTGATAATTATTAATGATGAGTTCTAAAACATGACTTGTTTTGCATACAATTCTTTCTGAATACATACATTACTTTGTGACAGAAGACAAAAGCACATTGATTTATTAATAATGATTGCAAATGCATAGCAAGTTCATAAACAATACAGAAATATAATTAAATCAAAGGTATAGGTGACACATTTCTGCATGCACCTGAACTGTTACATCTCAAGGAAAGAGGCACTGAGAAAGACAGGGCAGAGGAATTAGAAGAGAAATCAGGCATATTACAAGAGAAACTGTTCTAAACCATGATCAGATCCTCAGCAAGAGAAGGATAAACTTCTGCATTTTAGAATGGCATCTTCGTCTCAATTTCAGAACTATAGTCTATACTTATACCCCACTGCAATTTAGTAGATATTGCTAAACATAAAGAGACCATATTCTTCCAAGCTTTGTGACTACATAGCAAGATGCAAGTTCCTCTATCTCTAATGGTCTATATTCTTTAAGCTACTCTCATTACATTTATGTGCCTTTGGCTCCACAGCAGAAAAGGTGTCCTTTGGATCAGCCTTTTTCAAAGGGGTTCAAATGCCTCATTCAAGTTAATATCATAAGAAAAACAG